GTATTCAGCTCACAGCTGAATTCTCTTGATGAAGAGCAGCTTGGCTCAGCCCTCTCAGAAGCAAAAACTCATGGTGGGTACCTGAGATGGCTCTTTTATCATTACCTGAGGGGCTGTTGTGAAGCTTGTCATGGTTTGCCAGGCCCAGCTCCACCTTCAGCTGCCACAGCCTCCTTGCTTCAATTTGCAGGCACACATTCTTCTCTCCAAAACACTGTTAGCAAGACAATTTTGAATTTAATGAGAGTATTTGCTCTTCTAATTTGCTTCAAGCAGCTGAATTAAATAATGGAAGTTCTGAACCACCTAGAGGACTCTCTAGAAAGAATAACCACAGGCGACCTCTACACTCCACCAGCACATGTGCACACACACACACACGTGTGCAAACACACACACAGACACACACACACACAGACACACAGACACACACACACACACGTGTGCATACATTATTTGTGAATATCTCTCCACCTGTGCTGACATGGATGAGAATTTACAACTGCTTCAAAAAAGTTACAAGCTGTACCTCAGAAATTCCACATTTTACTGAGGTACGTTACTATAGCACATTTGTCAGGCAGCCAAATGCTATGTCAGCCCTGCAATTGATTTACAGCAACATCTGTAAGAATATTTGAGGAGAGGAGGAAACTAATGTCCACTTTCAGTTCCAGTGTTCCAAAGAAACTAATGGTCGTAGGGGATTTACAAACAGAAAACACAGAAATAAATAGCACGTTTGAAAGGTTATGTGCTTGATGTTACAAAAAGGAAGGGAAAAAAATAACGAATGCAGTACTTTTCAGACAGGAAAATAACCACAGCCTTTTCAGGCATGTCTTAACTTAGCCATATAAAACACCTGGCCCCAGAAAAAGCAAACCCTTTCTTTTTTCTTTCCTGACAAGTATATGAAGCTTGAGCAGGAAGCCCACATGAGCTTAAAATTCCTTTGTGAAAGACCTTATTAAAAAAAAAAAAAAGGAAAAAGGAAAAAAAGAGAAAAGAAAAGAAAGGAAAAAGGAAAAAAAAGAAAAGAAAAGAAAAGAAAAGAAAAGAAAAGAAAAGAAAAGAAAAGAAAAGAAAAGAAAAGAAAAGAAAAGAAAAGAAAAGAAAAGAAAAGAACAAAGAGAAAAGGTCCCCCCAAATTTATAAAAATAGTTACTTTGTAATTGCTATGAACTATAAAAGCAAGTTCCTATTTTCCATTTAAGAATGTTTTGTGAGGAGAAAAGAGGTCCAACACAAGAGATCCAACACAACTGAACAGCTGGAAAGCTTTGGGTGGAGGAAAGAGGTAGGAATGCCTTTCGCAGATCCCTCTCAACCTCTGCACCTGATCAATGCCCAGATGTTACAGACTCGAAGATGTTTCCTCAGCTGCCTTGTTGGAGAGCTAACTATCTGATGCAGCCTTTTATTTGCACTTCAGTTTAACAGAAGAGATGATTCGGGCTCCCGAATCTGAGGTGCTGTTTTGAGATCTGCTGGATCAAGGCATCTCCAGGGCAGGAACCATGGAGAGCAGGGCTGCCACTGTGGCTCCCCTGCCAACACCACACACAGCAGGGCTGAGAGCCTACTCAGGGCTTGCTCAGATTCCACCCTGGGACCAGCCTCCTACAGCTCTCAAAGCGCACAGGGAGCAGAACATTTCTAATCACACAGAAAAACATCAAGCCTGACTCTTTATGATTATAGAAACTTGTTGAGTCAGTACTTTCAAGAAGAAATCAAGGAGAGAAACATGCACTGGTAGGAAGGAGAATCAATCCACCAAGGACCTGTGAAACTCAGATCAAATGGATTTGGGAAGAGGGATGCGCAGCAGGGAAAGAACAAGCAACAGTTCTGCACACTCCAGCTGTGTTCCTGGTCTGTGTTGCCCTGATAACCCAAGGGGCTCTGTACTTTATATTCCAGTTCTGAACGGAAAAGGGAAAATTCAAAAACAAAAATTAAATACTTTTGAGACAAGTCATTTCAAAGTGAAAAATCAAAACATTTCTATTTTTTCACACTTTTTTCATGTTCTTATTTAATCCACTTAGCAAAACAAATTCAGTGACTCAGTGTCACAGAGTTGCTTTTTGATTTCATCTTCTCTTTTTTTTTCCAAAAAAACCCCATACTTTGAATGCAAGCACTGTTAGAGATAAAACTGCTAGAGTGTGCTGGTAGGTGAAATAGCACAGTTGTTATAAACTACAGAACAATAAACAAACACGTTTTTAAAATAAGGCACTTAAGGACCTCAGTTTTTATTAAAGGATTATTTTATTCATTAAGTTAATGCAGCCTTTTGATTAGTCACATTTTCCATCATCACCACTATTTTATGAATTTACCTACTGTGTGGTCACTTTTACATGAAGTTTAATTCATTCTAAGAACATTTTTACACGTGGGCTTTTGTGCCCTTGCCAAAATCTGAGAGCAGATTAACTTTTCCCTGCTAACAGCAAATGCCTACGAGGCTGCTGCAAGCAGCCCCTGACACTTCCCACTCTTTAGCTTACATGGAAGGCTGTGTAAGCTAATTACAATGGAGGCCGTGTTTCCCCTTTCCTGAGGGAAGGTTAATAGAGAAAGAACTTTACACTAATAAAGAATCCGATCACTCTGTGGCAGAGGCCAGGCTACGGGCAGCTGGCTGCTGTAGCACTGATGCTTTCTTAATGCTGCTGGTGTACAGACCCACAGCAGGTAGCAGTACAAATCCAGTTTATTTTAAGCCAGGAGAGTGGCTAGTTTCAGTTATGAGTTGGCTTACTTATGTATGTCTTCTAACACTTACTCCAACAGCAGCTTCTTCATTGCTGTGCTAGTCAGCCATAGCGATTAGAAAACATAGAAAAAAAGACTGGTTTGGAGATGTGTTAAAAATTACATGGTACCAGTGAATCTAATATTTTTTTGTGTGAATGCTCTGGTTAGTCAATAGACTGCAAAATTCTTCTGCACGCAGTAAGGCACATCATGAGGGACCTCCATGTGCCAAATGAAGGACCAGGTCTTCCTGCTTACTTCCGAGAACCACAATGAGATTGAAAAGCAGTTCCAGAAACTCCAACGTACTTTTGTCCTGCAGAAAATGCACACCTTCCCCATTCAAGGGCTAATAAAGGGGCAGCTGTAACTCCTTGATAAGCTTATAGAATTATGAGGGGTAGATGTTAACCCTGCGCAAGTTACTCCCTTGGAACAAGGGAACTATTCAAAACCCCTCCATGGATGGGAACTACAGCTCTCCTCTGCTGAATTCCTTTTCCAGTATCTCTGGAGCTCTGCCTTACAGTAGCTCTGCCTACTCCTCTAACATGCAGCATGCCAGCACAGGACAGAACTAGATATGTCTGTCAAGTGCTGACACATCTAAGAAAAACAGGATGAAAGTAGTCCACCATTTGTTGATGAACAGAGGCTGAATGGAGCCCTGAATTCTCCACATCACAGGAAAACAAAATGCAAGAATTTTGCAAACATTTTGCAAGCCACCCAAGGACATCAATGTCTATTCCTCCGTTACAGTATTTTTTTCACTGACTTCTAAAGTAAGTAGGCCAAACACCAGGAATAGTACCAAAAGTCTCTTCTTTAACTGGATAGGAACTGGTGTAGCTTTGCATCATTTTGGCATAAAAAAAATCTGAAGCCTCACTGTCCAAAAAGATGTTATTTCACACATCTCAATAATCAATACCTGAATTTTGATAATCCATTCATAATCCAAATCATAAGTCATAGCTTCTCCATGCATAGCTACAAAGGAAGTGCTGAAAATAAGTAGGTTGCATATTGCTATGGCAAATGAGTGTCTTTAGACAATGTTGCATACCAGCCTTTCAAAGCAGAGGCCTACAAAATCCCAAAGCCTGTTTTATATCCAGGGGATTTTACTACCTCAGTCTAGTAAGCTAGATCTTCATTTCTAATGCCGTATTTGAAATTCACATACGTTAAAACTAGCCACCATTTCAGAGCAGAGTACATACAGGTACTCGGACTGCAAACTCCTGCACTGAAATTGCTGGTCAACAGCCCACGGTCAACAGCCAAACTGGATAGGAACCAATGCCCTTGTTGATGGCTGACATCCAGGGATCATGCAGAAGCGCTATTCACTAGTCCCTAATCTAGAGTAATTTATGGTTCTGTTCTCTTTTGTGTGGGAAAAAAAAATTCTGAAGTCACAAAGCCTAAATTTGTTTTACAAGCAGTTAATTTAGAATTGCTACCAACTTCACCCTCAGGTCCTGCTGTCCCACGGCATTCTTGAGTCACATTGATCACACACATTCTGACACAGTGGACCCCACAGACCACATGACTCTGGGAAACTATGCACTGCACCAGCAATATTCAGTCTTGAACCCAAACACAGAAAAACAAACAGATCTTGTTTCTTGCCTACCAGGAAAGGAGATGTTAGATGCAGTAAGAGGTAACTCTCCAGATGATGTACTCTTCGGTGCATTGCTGCTTTTGGCACTTGAAGGCATAGAGCATACAGAAAACATTGTAAAGTTTGTAAAGTACAAAAATGCTCTTTATTGTGCTCATAGCATTATAATATAAATATTTTATCTCTGTTTTCTGAATTATGCATTTTCTGCAGTCATACCAAGTTCCTCCTAAAGCTGTGGGTAGCCTGTTGCCCCCAAACACTTTCCCTCTCTTCCAGCACACAACCACTGCTGATGTACTGCTTGCAATTGCACTGTGCTCTGTGAACCGAGTGCATTTGTCCCAGGCTGTCACCAGAGAGACAGTGCAAGCAGAGAAACTGGGAACTGAGGAGTGCACATTAGCAGAGGGCCCCCTGAGGACACGGGAGCAGTACTGAGCTATGAGAAACAGAGCAGCACAGCAAACAGGAGAGGCCATCCGTGCTTTTTGGTAAGAGGTCAGGTGTGCACATATTTATTTCAGGGAACAACTGACCCCTTAATTCTTAAACACAACAACAAGGAGAAGCACCTTTTGCCACACATTAGTGAGCTAAGACGTTGTTTTTATTCCCTCCTGCAACACTCCACTGAAATACAAAAAAGAAAGGTATCGGTAAAGTTTTTAACGCGAATAAAATGGCATGTACACAAACTGCATCTTGTTATACATTGCTTTTTTTCCCCCTTCACTAAACAGGCTGAGGTTCTCCTGTCTCCTTATTTTCTTAAGTAATTTCACAAGAGTCGTAAACTAACATCCAACTAGTCAAGACACATTCTCCATGACAAAGCAATACACAAAGTGAGCAAAAAAGATTTCACTGAGAAAGCTTAACTCCGAGATGTGTCATATCTGTAACAAGAAAACTTGCAAGTAGCTAACAGAATTTCTGCTTATGTTTATATTCAAGAAGAAACACAATCCCCAATTATAGTCCTGGTTTGTAAGGCTGGCAGAACACAAATGTTTGCAGTGCAAAGCTAAGTCTTAGTTTTAAGCTTATTTGAAGCGGCTCAAGGAATAAGGCTTAAGTGTTCAAGAGATCCCAGAGACTGAAATAAGAAATGTTTGGTGACACTAATGAGCCCTCAGTTGGAGAAAGCTTTGCACCTAACTCTTTGCCATTTATCAAGATGCCCTTACAGTTAAGAATTCTAAATTAAAGCATTTGCTGCTGAAATAGAGTAGAACTCCATAAAGTTGTGTTTGAAATTGTAATGCCCGTCAGTACGCAGGTATCCTTAGTGTCATCTCATACACATCATTTCGGTTACACATTTAGGAAATGCTCACTCCAGAGAGATTGTGGTAAATGAGTAACTCCATTTATCTTAAACTATTTAGGGCTTACAGAAACTGTGCCTCAGCAATCACTTGTGAGTTCAACAAGGCAAAACATTTTGTTGTGTAAAGCATTAAGTGAATACTGCCCTTAAAGAAAATTCTACAAGTTTTAAGTGAGCCCATGGCAAGATTCCAGCTGCTGCTGGTCATAAAACTGCAAAATGTCTATTTTGTCACTGAGCAACACAAGACTTGTTTCTCATTCTAATTCTTGAGATGCAGTGTAAGCTTTACTCAGGGTTGGCTGCAATTTCTTTCCCCATCACATCAACTTACAATTTAGCTTTCAGCTGGGTAAATACCCAACTACTCACTAACATTTGCATCTTAAAGAGGCAGGGGGGGACAAAAAAAAAAGGCAAGCAAACTTCCAAGCCTTTAAAACAGGTGTTTGGTTACATCATTGGTTTAAAAAGAACTACTAAGATATTGAAACTATCTTGCACTCTATAGATTGCCACTGTATTAAAGCACAATCCACTTATAAAGCACAAAAACTCAAGCTAGCAGAAAAAAGGACATAGGAGCTTTTATTTTCATTCCTGGGAATTTAAGGCATCAAGTAACATTTTAAGTCATTCCTACGTCTAGATTACTAAATGCAACTTGGTGAAAAGCGTTTAAAATTCAGTCATTGACCCTGAACATTTATTTAGGTACAGACATTCAAGCCCTTGGAAGATTAGTATCTTTGCAAGGGAGATGAAAAAAGAATGACATTGCCACTGTTCTCAACCTTCACCCACTACAGAATTTAAAGCTTGTTTTTCGTGATGAACCTTTAACATGGAGTTCTTAAGGATACACACTAAATCTGGAGTTACTGTTTTTAACTTAGGTATTTTTTAATATGTCAAAAAAGCAATGTCTGGCTATAAACAGGAGCTATCACAGGCTCCAGCTCTCCTCTCCCTAAAAAACAGGGTCATTAGGGAGGGAGGTTTGGGGGAAAAAAAGGAGAGATTATTGAGTGAACCAAATTTTAGATTTCTTGCCTTATTGACCTACAGGTTTGTGCTTAACTGAGGAAAAATTAATCCCTTTCAAATGCACTTAATTATAATCAAACACCAGTACCAATGTCTGTCACCACATCAGCACATCTGGCAGCAATGAAGACAAATTAACAGTAAGTCAAAAAATCTGGCAATATGATCAACTAAAGCACGCAAAACCCGTTCTGTAAGCTTAGACCACCAGTGACTAAGGATGGATTAACTTCCTGCCTCTAATACTGGTGCCTAAATTAAAGGGAAATTGCATTGCAATCTGGGCACCAGGTTTCTGGCTGCAGACAACTAAAAGCCCTTAGTTCAGCTACACCAGGCAACAAAATCTTTGCTCTCGCTTTAGCCCTGATGCCTGTGATGGCCTATGCTAACAGCTGCTTTTACTTTAGTTTAAAAGAAGCTATTTGGCAACCATGTAAGTTTGCACCTTCAAAGCAGGCAGATTTAAAAAGCCAATGTCCTGTAGAATTAACCATTTTGAAGTCTCACTGTTTTAGCACAGTAATGACAACAGGATTCACAACTTTTTAAAACAATACGCATCTGTACCTGGAAACAGAAAAAGTAGACTGTGTCCACTCAGTTTTAACTACTGTTTATCTCTGACTTTGTATAGTTAGACACTGGGTTCTTTACTACAAATATAATCCAGCAAGAGTCTACAATTGCTCAACATGACTGAGCAATTAAATAAAGCACAGATCTCATCTATAACCAGAGAAGGGCAGCCAAGTAAGGAACAGAAGCATGAATTAAACAAAAAAAACATTATCTTATTCTTGGATTACCTCCTCATGTTGAGCAGGGAGTGGCTGCAGAAGCAAGAAAAGAGGGATAAAGGGTGTGGGAAAGCAAAGACTCAGACATGCACTGCGTATTTGGCAAACACTTGATGCAGCCACTCAGAGAAGAGCTAGGTTACCAGGCAGATACCCAGTGCCATTTTTCTTCTTTTAGTAAATAGCTTGATATGAATTCGTGCATCTACTGTGTATATCCTTCCACCAGATGCAGGCACACTAACAAAGGCACAGGCAAACTGCTGGTTCTACAGTCTTACAGGCATGAAAACTGAGAGCATGTGTGTGCACATCTGACAGGGGGAATTCACAAACTGGAGGATTTACAGCCTTGCTTTAGTTCAAGCAGCTGCAACCAACCTCACCAATAACCATGGCAGGACCACACCCTCTCTTTGAAGAAGAAGGTATTTTACATAGTAAATCTAAAGGTACAAGTTTAAGTCAAATAAAGGTGCAAACGTGCATCAGAAAGCACCTACATTTGCAACACTGTACAAAAACATAATTCACACTTTTCATTCTTCATACTCTAATGTGGGTCAGAGACCACATGGCAGCATATTTTATTAAAGTAATGTGCAAATAAGATGCATGGTACCTGCAAACAGCATGGAGTTTCCATTTGCAAAAAGGTACAAAACTTAAAAAAAAATACAAAATTAGAATGCTTACTACTCATTTCAAGAAAATGAAGTCTGACATAGAAATAGGTACACTGTATTATTTACATCATTAATTTACAAAACATATTATTTGCATTAAAAAAAAGCTATAAAATAATTACAAATATAGTATTTTTATAAGGATTTTTCCCCTGTAGAACCAATGTAGAGCATCTTGGAAATTATGCTTTATTGGAAAAAAAATATATTTTTTCTTCTGATTTCAGAGCATCATGTGGTTTCTTTCTTCCCTTCTTCTCCTTATTCCCTTTTTAAATAAAGTTCCATACTGAGGTAGTAGTATGTCAAATTATTTCTTTGGTTCCAGAAATCAGCAAGTCCAAAAGGAGCTACGTATCTGAATCACAGGATTGGAATGCAGAAGTCCTAAAGTTTTCAAAGGACTGTTTGCAAGTATAAAAGCTATTTTCTCCCCTAGAAACTGTCCTTTTCCTTCCCTCTTCATCCACCTCTGCATCGAAGTCCAGTGAGACATGATGATTATTATGAGGGGTTTTTGGCTGGCAATTTGCTTGCTGTCTACAGCTTGAAAGAGAGTCCAGCTGAGGCCTCCATAAAGGCTTTCCAAATGTTCCTGAAAGACAGTGAAAGAGTGAGCACAGAAATACTGATGCTAAAAAGCTTTGTGTCTCACCCTAGTGTACATAAGTGACATTGGAATGCAAGCCACGGATTGACAAAAGAAAAAGTTCAAAGTGAGATTTTACTTAAATGTTGTTTTACCATTTAAAATACAATATCCATGTGCTCACAAGCATAAGGCAAGATTCTGCCCCCAGAGACATTAAAAACACTTCCAAGTAGTTGTATAGCCACCCACAACTTCGTTTCTTTTGTCTTCATGACTACTTCCATACTCATTTTTCTTTGGGGAGGGTGGTGAGGGGGGAGGTGGGAACACAGACCAAACTGCAAACACATCACAAGACACCTAATGCAGAAGTCACTCCCTGTTTTGTTCTTCAATAAATGAATGGCATGTGCAATCTGCCATGCAGTTCAGAAAAAGTAAAATAGGAATTTTAAAAAAAAAAAAGTAACCCCATAAACCTCGATCAGGTTATACAACACTGTCCCACAGTGCAATCTGAATCCTAACACAATCTTCTTCTGGCTAGCACCTCCCATTAATAATAAAGATGGAGATAGTGACATGCCCCATTCACTGATCATCCAGCCAGTTGTGGGCAAAGAGAACAATAGCAATCCAAAGAGAATGACACATTTCAGTTCAATTGTTATTAATAATGATCTGGATTTACCAGTCAGAAAACAGTGTGTGTCACTCTTCACCACAGGGAAGCTGTTAGTATCAACACCTCTATAAGAAGGACCTTCTTTTTTCACTGAACAAAGATAAAGCCATCATAAGTCATAGTGTCTGTAAGGACTTACTTTCAGAAGACAGTGTGCCACAGGCTGACTTTGAGGAAGTTTTTATTAATAACTTGACACAACGTTTTTTAATAAATTTTGAGCCCAAACAAAATGCAACACTTCTGCTTTTGTTTAGTTGTTAGAAGCAAGGGTTTCAAGTAAAACTGTAATCTGAGAAGTTATTAAAAAAGGCACTAGACAAAATCCCTATTTCCATCAATGAATTGTAGAGCAGTTTTGACCTAATGCAATAAGAAATGATGCTCCTCACAACACCAAAGCTACAAATGAACTGTCTTACAAACAAAAAATCCAAGCTACAAACTCTCTGTCTCGTGCATCAACCATGATGCCAGCTGTCTTCTTCATTGTGACTGCACAAGCAAAAGGGGGCTTGAATTTGACTGCCATCTTGAAGAAGTGAATTCACAACTAAAGACAAGAAATCTATCACAACTTCTTCCACAGCCACCATCTCCAAGATCTAGCAATAGGCTCTTTGAGGGAAGAGTGCTAATGGTTATGAAGCTTCTAAGGCATTGACAATGCAACGTAAGTGGGGTAGTATGCTAAGAGAACTGATGAAAGTAGTAAGTCTGCACAGCTTCTTAGGGCAAGAGGACTATGTGCCCTTGAGGTGACATTAACTCCTGAATATATGAACGTACAGTTGGACTGCTTTCTGCAGGAGACATGATAAAGCCCTGTCTGCACAGTCCCACCACAGTAATAGTGGCAGGCAGCCAGGAAGCTGGCCGTGTGCAGTCCCAGGGTCTCTGCCAGATGTCCTGGCATCTGCAACGTTTTACAGTTCAAACATCTGGCTTTTGAAGAGGGAAAACTTCAGAGCTTGTGCCTCCCTCCCCACCCCCTGAGAACAAAGAGCCCAGTGATGCACATTCCCCCAGGTCCCCTTCAGAGCCAGCAGACCCAGATCTCGATCAGCCAGTGCTGACACACCAGCTGGGAGACAATCCATGGTACCAGGGCTGTGTTTGGCGCTAAGATATCACAAGGATGAAAGCAGTATGTGGTTTTATATGCATTTTAAACCAAGCAACCAAACCAACATCCAAAATTTAATGAGCTTCAAGGATAAAGCAATGCTTTTCTTCTTCCCCCACCTCTCCCTACAATCTGGATTAAAATTGTAAACCCTAAACTAAACTTCGGCAATTTTTTTGTCATGCACATTATGAGAAAATTACAAATGAGGGATAGAGATGGCATTTTTACATAGTGCCTTCTTTTGAAGGGTAAACAGTTCTGGCTGACTGTGTTATACAATATATACACATACGAGTTCAAGTCTCCCCACCTGCCCTGAGCCCTCCTTACACACCTTTTGCCTGTCAGGCAAAACTTATGCCTGAAGTTCGTTAAGGTATATTTAAGTTACGTATGCTAACATTTCCAGAAATCTGCCAGCTCTATTAAGACAGAAGATAAGAATCGCATCACCAATGAGATTTTTATGTAAGTGTGAGCTATTAGGATGTGGTCATCTAAATATCCTCATTACACAGTTATATTCACTTTTCTGTTCCTCAGCGTCAAACATTTGGGAAAGAAAAAGCTGAGAAATCAGTTTTGCTTAGTACTGTAGGAAGCAAGACAGCAAAGACAATGGCAGCCTGAATAAAAAACAACAGCTAGAACATACCCATGAAAGTGCTGTTACTTGTAACAGATGAGGGCTCCAAACTTCTGTTTAAATCAAATGTGTCTAAGTTGAGACTTTTGCTTTTCAGTCCAGTTCCTTCATTTTGAGTATAAACAGAGTTCATCAATCTGCTACTTGTAGCCGGTGTCCCAATAAAGCCAACACACTGGTCAAAGGGATCTTCCTGTGCAGGTGAGTATTGATAGCATTCCTTTTTCTTTAAATATCCAGACTCGTAAGGGCCCAAGCCTGCTGATCTCTGGTCAGGGCTGCAACCTAAAGGAAAGGAAAAATTGATTTTATACTGATTCATCATAGCAATGATTGAGTTAGGCCTAAACCTTCCCCCCACCAACTTACTTGTATTGCATGCTTCAAATGCATCAGAACTGTAAATGTTGCCTTTTAAATACGAAGTCCCTGAAGTCCCCAGATAGTGACACAGGAATGGATCTGCAACACCATCCAAGTCTGTTTCACTGCTGTTATCTAGATGGCAAATGCCTTAAAAATAAAATTAATGTGTCAGCACACAGTCTTTTCTGCATCTTCAGCTTAGAGTTTCTTGGTTAAGTTTTAAGAACCCCACGTATTCAATTACATTTTGTAGTGTAGTTCAGAGTTTGCTTAGGTTTAACCTAACTTTTGGATGAGAATTCTAATTCCATCAACTGTTCAATTAATTAGCTCGACAGAGATGTGTCACTTCACTGTACAATCCCTGAATAACAAAACAAAACAAAACCAGTCACAGGGATCAGAACCAGGGACTTCCTTCTTCCAAAGCACAGAAGACAAATTCATGATCTGTCTGACAGCCACCTTCAAAGCAGAGCATCAATGTCAAAGTCCTGTTTGGAAGAATCTGAAGGAGTCACTGGCTGCCTAAACACCTATAAAGATTTTCAGTTCAATGGTTCCTGAAAGCTTTGGACACAGCCTCTGGTTCCTGATCCACAAAGAGGCTGTTCCTCTCACTACCCAGACTGCAAACCTATCTCAGCATCATTCCCACCTGTCCCAGCTCCTGATTGTATCTCAACCCCAAACCCTTTCCCAGAAAGGTGCCTTTTCTTCTCCAGTGCAGATATGTACAGGATTCTTAGGGGCCACACATAAAAATGTCAAGTACTGCAGGTTTTAACTTGCAGTCACCTTAAATCCTTTACTGATCCTGACTCTAATGATTTTTTTAACCAGCAAGTTTAAACAGCTATACTTAAGTTCCACTGGTATTACCACACATGCCTACATTCCACTAAAAGCACATTTTTCAAGCTGTAAAAGAGGAAGACATGCCATGGTAATTTCTTTTGGACACTCTTGTTTCTTGGCATATCAGTGTAAATTTACCCTTGAGACTAGAGACAAACTTCCTGATTTAATAAACACCGTAACATCATTTGGACGAACAGAACCAAGTTCCAGTTATTATCATGTTGAAAAAAATACCAAGCAATAAAATTCACACCCTCTACTAAATTTCTGTAAACATGCTTCTGTAGTGTTACTTCTATTAGTCAGAAAGACAATAGCCAAACTACAGCTCCTCAAGCCATATGAAAAATCATAGCTTAGCATTTTCTACCTACCATTACTGTCCCTCTGCTGCAGAAAATACCCTCCTATAGAAGATGACAGAAACTGATGGTGACTGCCATTTTCAGAGGAGCCATATCCATCCTGCCTTTCAGCCAGTGTCCCCTGGGATGAGAGGTAACTTGGAATGTCTGCAGGTAAATTTGTTTCATCTGTGGGGAAGCAAAACACATACAAAAGCCATTAGCATACTTCAGTTTGTAGAAACATTTTTAAACTTGTCAGAAAAGCACTGAAAGTAACATATAATTCATCTTTTTGCCTCCAAGTCGAAACACACAAATGTTCCTACAATGAAGTCACTGCAAAGCAACCACAAACATTTTTTCCTTCCTTTCCAAGGTAAACCTTCAGTTTACACACCTGTATTTGTGATGCTGCAATCTTCATTTCTCCTTCTGGTGTGGTAGATGATGACCACCCACACCAAAGAAGTGCCCACCACACAGCAAACCACAGCTATGATCACAATGCCAACTGTGGCCCATCCATCATCATCAAGTGATGGGGCAATGTTTTGAGGAGAGTCACAGGTGGGAGTAGGAATTACATTAAGACGTATGTTGCCTCGTTCTGTTCCAAGTGTATTAGACATTTCACAAGTGTATTTCCCAGCATCTTCTACATCTGTATCCACAATAATTAGTAACTGATTGCCTGCAGCAAAGAAATGTCTTTCTGTTACCACGAGAGGGCTGTCATCCTTAGTCCAGTTCAGTCGGGGTGGAGGGCTACCACCAGCAATGCACTGCAAGACTGCAGTTTCACCTTTTGTTACAGTTCGGTCCAGCAAAGGCCGCAAAAATGATGGTGTTTCTGGAAAGAAAGCACAAGCCTTACATTCTTGTAAGTCTTATTATTCTAATATTCTAAATGATCTTGCAAGAGTAATAACGTCCCTATTCTTCACAGATCAAGAGGAAAAGCTGAAGTAAATGGCATCAGTAGGGCCTTATAAAGCTTACTCTCATTCTAAGAAGAAACTCAAAAATTTGTACTTAAAGCTTACAATTTACCTGTCAGTTGATCTGATTTACAAGCTTGATTACAAGGTAAAAATGCCAACTCATGCGTGCTTACAATTGCAGAGAACTCCAATAAAAGTGGTTAACAAAATGTCAAGAAATCAGAAGTTAAACAAATCTACTGTCTCTAAATTAAAACAGAAGCCCCTTCTTTCCTCCATCACATGCGTACCAGATGTGTATACACCGGCAAACTTGACTAACTTTTATTATTTTGAATCATTTTGATTGTGCTGTTAAGGTTTGCCAATATCTTACCTAGTACTGTTAATGTTGCGTTAGCTGAAATACTTCCAGCAGTGTTTTGAGCTGTACAGCTGTAAACACCTGTGTCCTCAATCTTTACATCAACAATAAAGAACACATCATCTTCAGGCATGACATGCATGCGCCTCTTGCGTGCTGCAGGAAAATCTGTTCCACCATCTTTCTGCCAAGCAATCTGTGGGATAGGATGCCCAACTGCAGCACATTCCAAACGCGCCATTGCCCCAGCTCGAATGGTTAAGTCCATGGGGATTTTTGTAAATGAAGGCAGCACTAAAGAAAAGTTGGTGATAACAAAATCAATACGTGAAACATACTTTTCCTTTTTTGAACACTGTTTATGGGCCTAAAAACAGTAGAGAAATAATACAACCTAAACTGATCAGTAGCCAGCAGAAAGGGAAGGGACTGTGAAGTATGTGAAACCACCTAGATCAAAATCTCATTTCTGCTAACAGCCTCCTAGATGACCTTTCCATAGCATCTTGAAACAGAGCATATACTTACTTCCTGTGAGAAAAAGTTAACATTTTTCCATCTTGTAACATTGATTTTGCCAGATATAAAATATGAATTGGGTATGTTATCTGGCTTTTCCTATACTATGCTTCAGCAAACTGGGACTAGAAGTAAAATTGAATGGTGTCCTTGGAAATAGATAAATTTTTAAGAAATAATCTCATAGTATGGATCTTCTAAAAGATGCAGACGATGAGAATGGAAAATCTATGATTACCTATCTTGATTAAAATCATTCTAAGTCCACAAGCAAAACATAACATACTTACTGTTTACTGTAAGTTTGGCTTTGACAGAGTAGGATGAACCAAAGTGATTTGAAATAACACACTGGTATTTCCCTTCATTACTGAATTCAACGTTGCGCAGTCGAAGGATGGTGGTGTACTCCATCACTTCTCCACCCTGGGCCCGGAGGTGTGCGTAATTCTCCATTTCAGCATCTTGCAGCAATTCATTGTCTTTCTTCCATGCAAAAGTCATTGGGGAATCACTACTGCTGGCTGCTGAACACACAAAACTCAAATTGGAGCCTTTAATTGCTGACTGGGTTTCTGGCTGGACAGTGATCTGTGGTTTAGGAAAATCATCTGCATGAGGAAAAGAAAAAAAAATATATGCAATGCCTGAGGACTCTTTCCAGAAGAGTTAGTAAGCCTTGTTTTATAGGTTTGAGAGAAGAGTCAGGTAAGTATTTATTAAATGGATCCACAATACCTTTCGTTTTAAATTTTGTTAGCCGTAGGGCATTTAAAGATGCTGTATTTATGAGTTTATTGTGCCAAGCCATCTCTTATTGAAGAGAAAGCACATTTAAAAGCATACTGTGTGCAGAGTTTCTTCTACAGCAGCACTGAAGATGGAAGAACTACCCCCTGACATCCATAAGAACTATTCTGAACATCAATCATGAAGCCTACTTCTCTCATCTTTACAACACCTCAGGCTGCTCTGAGTTTTTCTTTATTGAAAGCATAGTTCTTCTGCTATCAGAAACTGCAAGTTACAGTTGAGGGTTTTACACAAACCCACAAAAAATCAAGTACAAAAGTCAGTGTTCCAGTGATCTGTGTCTGTCTGGGCCAAAGGGGATGGAAGGTCCCTTAAGCAGGGCAGAATACAGTAATTTCAAGAATTCCTGGTGGTCCCTTTACTCTAGAAAGTTACCTTCAAAGTGCCATGTTGTGAGTTTACAGAATTAACTGTCTTCTCAATTATTTATTCAATTGCGTGTACACTGCATGCGCAAAAGGAGAGGGCAAGTAAATGTGTGGTCTCCCAAAAGCAAAAGCCTTAGTACATACCCAGCTTTCAAGATGTGTCCAATCTTTGCATAAACTTCACAGAAACTGTAGGGAAAGCCCTGTGCCCCAAAAATTCCTCCCTGCAGACCCTGCTGTTTTTCCTAGCTCCTTTGTCTTATTACATCTCAAATGATTGGGAACAACTATGGGATCAAAGTGTTATTTCCTTGAAGAACCTCCACTCTGTTATAAAAGAAAATGAGATGTGCAGATAGCCTAACCTTCAATTATCAGCAAAACTCCTGCAGGTATGAAGCTGTGCTCCAGTGACAGGGGAACATGGATCTGGGACTATAAGCATGGGCTTTAAGAACCTCCCAGGCCATTTGCTCTTCATGCTTCATACCCATGTCTTACCATTTGCAAATTGAGTTAAAACATTCATTTTGCACAGGAATAACCAAGTAAAACATTCTAAGTACTTAAATTAGCCTTGTGAAAGGATGGGAGAACATACTTCAATCTTAATTATCTGACAGGACGGAGTGATAAAAAGGTCACTCAAATAAGCATACACTACAGAATACAGAACACACTAGCATAAGACCAGCATTATGTTTTGTCAGAACAGAATAATACAAGAGCATATTTGAATGACTGTATCACAGAAACATCCACATATATACACACACCTTTTAATTTCAGACAGAAGTCTGAATTTCAGACACTTAAAAATTCTATATAAGCAAAAGCAGCTACTGCTAACCTGCAAGGCAAGGTGTGTACACCCAAACGTCTAGTGATAACACACTTTAAAAATATAACTGAAACATCCAATGATGGCATTGGGACATTTTAGTTATTTCTGCATGGCAATTGCAGTAAGTATCAAGCTCAACAAGTGACTCAGTACATTTCTTTTTGCTAATAAGTCTTAAATGGTTTAAAATTAATTACTTAAAAACAGCATTCAGCAGTCAAAAGAAAAATCACAATTCCCACAATACAGCAAATGGAAGATGTATATTTCAATCCCCAGTTCAATTTTTTGACAAAATACCTTTAGCATAAATTAGGACGTCTACTTCTTATATACTCCTTTGATCCTGAGTAGTCTGTAATTCCCTGCATTATGTTAACCTCTCCTTCTCAGCAGCAGGTAGAATCTGCTCCTTATTTAATTTACTAAATATCTGACTGCTAACAGGAAGGGAAAAACAACATTTTGGTACAGTATTTTATATTCTGAACCTGCCTGCCCACTGAAAAAAGGGTATGAATAGCAACAGCAAATATTAACCAGTTACATTTGCTATGAGAGGAAGTTATTGAGAAGGTCTTTTTGGTGCCAAAGAACATAAAGTTTGAATTTTCTTTAGTAAGAAAATAAGATGTATTCAACAAAAAACCATTAAATGTAGTTAGCTTTTAAATATCCTGATATTATCCAAGTCCCCACTTTACGTATCAGAGTAATCAAACACATGTTCTTACTCTGAATGCTTAGCTTCACTCTGCTTTAAATAGAGAACATAACAGAGGTGTTCATGAATGCTACTAAACACACATAGGACAATTTCATTTTTAAGGCAGATACTATCACCTCAAATTCTCAGGTCCTGAAGTAAAAATATTTTACTAGCACTTACTATCTGGCAAACTGAAATAAAAAATACTGGTATCGTAACTGTGGCAATTAGGTAATTTTTAAACACAGTTTATATTAAGGCAGTAATTTACATACGCCAAATAATTTTTAAAGCAGACAACAAGCACACATAAAAAATGTCAAGAGCTGAGGCTAGTATGGCTTTTTTACCTTCAAATTTTATCAGCCCTGGAATAACCTCAAGACTAATGGAGTATGTAAAAAATTTGCTAATAACCAAACCAAAAAACTACATCTTAATTTTGCCAAAATATGTCTCATTTAAAAATGGTAGTTATCTAAACAGTATCTTTTACATCTAGAGGCACATAAATTTACCCTCACAAACTACTGAGCTTTCACTTGCACACTCTATGTTCTATGTAAGCAAGCTGTACTTGAAATGTAAGTCAGAATACCATCACTCCTTGTCTTGTAGCCACAGGTTTTGAAAATCTACATCACGGTTTGGGAACAGAAGATAATGTTAGTATCACATCTTCTCCATTTCATTATAGAAATCACAACATATCAAGAAACCACGAAAAATCCCAAGCACACAGCAAAATTTGTTTTATGGAATGAGAAATAGAGCCTACACTCACCACAGACAAACTCATCCAGGCTGACAGCAAAAATACTTCTCCCTTTTAGCAGCTGAGGATGGGCACAACTGGCATTCACAAAGCTCTGGAAGTTGTTCTCTGACATCCACTGTGGTAGCCATTTTAACTGGCAGTCACACAAAAGACTTGATGTGTTGAAGTGTCTAAGAAAAAGCAATTAAAATCGAAGACTGTTTGTTTTTTTTTCAGTTTGTAATACAGATCTGTATAAGCACACTTTTGTAACAAAACTAAGGTTTTAGCTTAAACATACATTGCAAGAGAAAGACAGCAATTTTGTTCAGCTCAAATCCCCTCCCTTGCCTGGCTGGCCATGCTGTGCCTGATGCCCCACAGGACATGCCTGGCCCTCCTGGCTGCCAGGGCACTGCTGACTCAAACTCAGCTTTCCCTTGACCAGGATACCAGGTCCCTTCCCACAGCTGTGCTTTCCAGCATCTCATTCCCCAGTCTGTCCGTACACCCAGGGCTGCTCTACCCCAGGTGCAGAATCCAGCACTTTATCTTGCTCAACTTCATACAGCCCTCTTGTTTGTTGAGGTCACTCTGCAGGGCCTCCCTGCCTTAGGGGGAGCCAACAGCTCCTCCCAGTTTTGCACCATCTGTGAACTTGCTCAGTATCCCTTCCAGTGCTGTGTCCAAGTCATTTATCAAGAGCACAGGGCTGAGGATGGAGCCCTGCTGCACCCCACTAGTGACAGGTTGCCAATTTGATGTCACGCCTTTCAGTATAACCGTGAGCCAGCGTTGTTCTGCATTGATCAACAGAACAAAAAGGTGAGAGGACAAAAACCCATCCACACTAAAATACATTTTTCGCAGTGACCGCTTCACGACTTCACTGAAAATCTGTCTCTGCTACAACAGGAGAGAAGGACCCAATTACAAGCACTGACAACCAGGTCTTTACAAAAGAATTACAGCACTGCATTTCACTGGTCCAGCAAGCTTTAGCTTAGTGATAGCACTGCTAATCTTAGAGCACATTACATCAAAGTCTTGCTTATCTAAAACCTGTTAGAAATCACCCAATTTAAAATAAGGACTTCAGAGACAATAAACGTAGCAGAAAATGAATGCCTCCTATCCTACACTCTCACTTAAATACACCCATCACATAAAAAGTAAAAAAACCCAAAACACTGACATAACTTTTCATGTTATTTCAGAGAGATTACAGCAGGGGTTTATCACTGCATCAGGCAATGTCTTAAAAGGCTTTTATTTATAAATTTTCAGGGCAGATATACCTAATAGAGATTATATCTTTTGATAGAAACTTACAATTCTTTGAGTTTCTTCATTTGTGAAAATGCATTTCCTTGAACTGACATAATTGCATTGTTACTTAGATCTCTAGGAAAAAAAAGAAAAACAGGATTAGAAGAAAATAGTAATTTATTAAACTGAGTGGATTCAGGACTCAAACAATTGTTTTCTATTTTAGTGATACACAAAACATGCTCAAGCTCAAAAACAAAAGAGACACAAATAAGAAGTTCCATAGCATGCTAAATATGTAAGAATTTCTGCATTAAGTCCAGAAGTTACACTCAGTGTAACTCCAAAACTGAAAAATCATCTGAAGACCACAGTAGCAGCCATGGTAAGTCTATTTCATACCAGTATACCAGTATCAAAATTAGTTTTTTTCTATTCTGGGTTTAACGTGAACTTCTGCTACTTACAAGTGTTCAAGTGCATCCAAACCAGAAAATGCTTTCTTTGTAATGGATCTAATTCTGTTTCCTTGAAGTATCCTGAAAAAATTAAGTACATGATGCAGAAAAAATGCAATTAAATGGAAAGATTTTTGAGCTGAATAACTGTATTTTTGCCATTTATTTTTGAACTGTGACTAGTATTCACCACTCACCCATCTCCAATGCAGCAAAATGTACCACATCTAAAAGATACTAATTTATTCCCCCTGAAAAAGTATCTAGATTTTACAACTATTTTAGAAGACATTTAAGGTGTACATTTAAGTGACATGGATTATTCTAAATATATAACTGCAAACATCTTTTAATTTCATAAATCTGCATTTGAAGATTTCAATGCAATGGAGCCACTTCCACTGGATGCAGCTTTACCTTACTGAAGACTAAGCCTGTCACTATGCCTTTGTCTTATAATACATTTGCTATTTATTTGTATGGGGAAACCTCACTGTTTGATAAATATGTCCATAAATAATGATACTTAAAATATTTCAGATTAGTTTGACTTGGAAAATCTTGAATTTCTTTTTTTGAAAAGGAACATGTTATAGAGAAAAAGGTGATGAGAAAAAAAATCATCTCTGCTATGGAAAATTTAGTATCTTTAGGTGTGGGGCTTGTCCCTTGAAAGACATATAATGAGCTAATATGTTTAAGGCATGATAAGAAACAAATATTGTAGCAATACTTACAGCTTTCTAAGTTTATCTAGGCCAGAGAAAGCACCATTCATATCTTCAATAGTCCATGATATTTCATTGTTTTTCAGATCCCTGTTTAGGAGGAGAGGGGAATCAAACCACAAAAGCTATTAAAAAGAACAAGGCACATACTTCAACAGCATGTATTACTTTAAAAAAAATTCTAAAATAGCTTTCTGTTAGGTTGGATTTTTGTTCAGTTGCTTTTTGTAGGTTTAAGAGAAGCTTTTCCTGATTAACTTTATCATTTTGATTTTTACTGAAAGACTTTGAAGACTATTACTATTTTTCCCACTGATAATTAAAAAGATCACAACCTCAACAATTTTTAGAATTGTGAGCAAACCAACCCACATATCCCTCCAAAGGTATTCAGGTACAGGACTATCTTAAGAGAATGTGCATCACAGGACGGGAAAGGATCAACTGTCATCCCTTTGAAACACCCTCACATTTTTTTAAGTCCATAATACTAACACCCAGAGAATCATTTTAACATCCCAAAACAGTTGCAATTCTCTAACTTCCTCTATTTATGATCTCCAACTCTCTATATTCTTAAAAAACACAGTGTACACTCCTCTAATTTTCATCTTTCCTAGATTCCCTAAGTGTGAGTATGTTAGCAAACCCCTGAAAATAAAGCCTAGAGGGAAAGGCAATCATTTTGCTCATCTGGCTGACAGATGGGTCAGTGGTATGCAATGGGAAGGTTTTAATGAAGAGGAATGTATATAGATTACTTTACTTTCTTCTTTCCCTTCCTTCAAGAAATGCTATTGCAAAACATGCTATAATACTTAAAGCAATTGTCCAGTCACGACAATGAGTTTTGTCTTCTTATTTCTGCTGTGTGAGAAAATGATTCAGTTAAGACACAACTACAATCCGGATCCCTGAAACTGTGGGTAGCAGTGCTCTGCTTGCTGCCTTCAAACAGAGATATGCCTCTCCCACAATAATGCTACTGGAAGTTTGTATCACATTTACCACCATTGTGGTAAATCATTGTGCACTGCCTTAACAAAAGAGAAACTCCTCCCTTTCTCAACTACTCTGGAAAGCAATCTTACTCTAAGAAAATCATACACTGATCAGGGGATGTTAACAGAATGTTCTTAATGTTTCTTTATTTCATAAAAAAAAAGAAATAACCTATAAACACAGCATTTTCTTAAGGTTTTTGACCTTACAGATTGAGTTTGTCAACTTACAGAATCTGCAGACTGGAAAGTCCCTTGAAGGCACAATCAGCAATGTAATTTACTTTGTTGTTTCCGATGTACAGTCCAACCAGCACGCTTAAACCAATGAAACTTGAATCATCTAACCTTGCTAAATGATTGAGTGTCAAATCTCTGCAAATTTAAGGGGGGAAAAAACCATTTTAATGTTCATAGTGCAGTGCTTATTTAACTTAGTTCAACCCACATGGACTTTCAGGGGGGAAGCACAATTTTCCCCTTATGATTATCATAGAACCCACTACACCACTTCTGACCACACAGCATTTTGCATTGTTTTGAACAATTCACAAACTACTGCAGAATTAATTTCTCTCATTTGGAAATGGCTGTGTTACAGCTTTAAGTACAACTGCTACAGTGAAATGGAGCAGTCGCAGCTAACTTCAACTTCTTTCAACAAGATTTAACTGTCTTATACAGCAAGGTTGTTGTCACCTTGGAAACTTTGCTATGAAAAATTCACAGATCAGTGCTAAGAAGCCCATGTTTTGGCATGTACCCGGCTTTTGAAACTGTTAGAGAATAAAGGTACTCACAGCTCACTGAGTTTTTGGCAAAATTCCCAGGCATCAGGACTGATCCTGCTGATGGCGTTTTGGCTGAGATGAAGCTGCTGCAGCATCAGTAAGCCATAAAGCCAGCCTTTGGTTACCTCTGTTAAGTTGTTATGGTCCAGCTGCCTACAAACACCCACAGACAGAAAAAGACATAAGGTTCAGAAATTCAGCAGCATTCATGCTATGCCACAGTCCACACATCTGACCACATGACACTGGCTAGATAGCTGGAGCCGCTATTAAAATCTTGTACTGTATGCATGCACTTAGAATGTGCTTCTCTACACAATCACTACTGACTGCTTGCTGCTTTTCAGACCACAAGACAATTCAATTCAAAAAACCCTTTGAATTTTACCATGCAATTCTATTAATTTTGTGCAAATCTACTTTATAGGCTTTCAGCAGCACCTACCAGCAAATGTTTGATACTTACAAGACTTCCATGTTGGTCAAACCCCAGAAAGCACCATCCATGAGCCTCGTAACCCCATTTCTCTGCAATTTTAATGATTTCAAAGCAGGAAGTCCTTGGAAAGTGAGCCCATCTATTTTTCTGATTTTGTTGCGATTCAGCTCCCTGCATCAATAGAATTTACAGTTACAGTACACTGATTTTATCAACATGCCAACAACCTTTCTTCCCTCTCTGAAACCAACTTTATTTAAACACTTTTCTTGCACACGAGACAAAGACAAGAAGTAATAAAAATCAAACATTTCATCAAACATCAACACATGTTCAACCATGTTAATACTGTTCTGGCCTTTTTGATACTGAGGACAAGTACTTGGTAGTTCATTGATTTTCAGACTTAAAGAATCCCTGTAGACCTAGAATGTCATGGTTAGCCCTGTTCCCAAATTCAAAACTGAAAGCGATGTTTATCCAGCAGTAGATTGGTTTGTAATTGCAACCAATGAACAGACAAGAAAAAGTTAAAATTTCATTTGTGGTAACTAGACAAAATTGAACATCCTGGGTGATCTTTTTCTGTATCTGTAGCCAAGCACAACCAGTTATACATAGTGACTTCCCTCTCTCAAGTGGTCTTGGCACTCACCCTTCTGCCACTACACTCACCCTGTGCAGGTCAGAAACTGGGAGCAATGGGTATCCTGTGAGGGAGATATAGGGCATAACTACCCAGAGGGCAAGATCCAGTGACAGGAGTAGAAAATACTACCAAAAGTAAAACAAGTGATTATCTGCCCCTTCAAGGAAGTCTCAGGTCTACCAAACTAGGAAGAATCCCTACTTCCAAGACTTACTTCCTCATGCAAAGTAAAGGTCTCCCCACAGTTGTACCATCATTATTTTTCAGAGTCTGTAAGAATTCAGCTTTCCTCTATGGCAGTCTGACCCAAAATCTACCTGACAACAGACCTGAGAACAGAGGGAGAACTTCCCATATTTTGTTTAAATATGAATAAAAATTAAAGAACATTCAGTAAAAACAGGCTTTAGCTCTTCCCCATTCTTCTCTGAATAGTTACAGGTGATAACACCAATTTTTTGCCTTCCTTGCAGATAAGCAACCTAATATAACTCAGTTACCATACTGGTTATGAACAAAAGGAACATTTTTAGGCAAGAATATAACCAACACGCAAAATTCAAGGTGAATCTGAAGATCAGAAAGTCTACCAAAATCATTAACAAATCCTGAGCTTTGCAGGACTGTTCTTATACTATTCTACTGAGGCCTGAGTAAAACCATTCCAACTCTTGTACACAAAGAAACAAAGTCACTCTTTACAGAAGTGCCAAGCACCCTAATATTTCAGTGTTCTTATAACCTATCGCGTTCAAGGCTAACCTAAGACACTTTCTCATTTTTAACTCCTGACTATCTGATATGGAAAATAATTATCCAGAATTTGACAAAGGGCAACCCATTCTCTTGTCCATTTTCTGCACTTTCTAAGTCTTCAAATTAAAAAAAAAAACAAACACAGTCTCTTTCATATAACTTTATTATTCATTCAGTAAAACATTTATGGGCAGGACTATATCAGTAAAGCTGAAAGTCTATTTATTCAAGCATATTGCTTATTGTCATGTCATCTGAAAGCAAATTAATTTCCTTCATTTCACTGTGAAAGCACGAAGTAAATGACTGCTGCAGTGAACTATATAAGTTTAACTATAGAAGTTTACTTTACCTACTGTTTTCCTGATGCTTTTTTACAGAAATTTTGCCACTACCTCTTTTCCAGACTTTTTTTTCTTAACTTTTAATAGGCAAACACAATTTTAAACACAAAGACTGTTCACATTTCACCAACATATAAGACTAGTTTTGTTCAGCACAACGTTGCAGTTAGTAAAGGTTGTAGTAATATGTTTTCTCTGTCTGTCTCACTCTGCCTCTGGTTAAATTAAAGGCTAAAGTTCAAGCACTGCCAGTGCTTTGGAAAACCTGAAAACAATTAGTCAATTGTAGGTTACACTTACAGGTGCTGCAGATGGGACAGTTTAAACATCTTTTGAGGAATTGCTGAAATTTTGTTCCTGTTCAGTTTCAATACTTGAAGTGTGGTAGACAAATTGTCAAAGGTACCAGGCTCCATAGAGGTTATTCGGTTACTGTTAATATACCTGTTGAAACAATGTCCAGAAGGTTAAATTTACAGTTGTTTAATAAATTCTTAACACCAAGTAGTGAAACACAAAGCTCTTATGGTGCTTAGTCATTTATAAATGGATTTTTTTCACATTAATTAGAGCTTATTCTATAATCAAATAGTATTTTCACCACCACCATTGTACTCTACTCTGCCAGAGTGTGATAATGAAAGAAAATAGTATGTGGCAATCCTGTCACTTTTTTATCAGTTGATATATCTGGCATTGCAATATTCCTGAATAAGAATTAAAGTGTATTCACAGTAAGTCTATCAAACCATATATAAATACAAACTAGCCTATCCATGAGGAACTCAGGTTCACTTTATCACATAATTAATTCTCTCAAGAGGTACATCTATTTGTTTCATCTCAAATAATGGCCTTAGCTTTTTAATGAATTAAAATATCTCACTGTAACAACTCATATATTCAAATTAGCAGCTTATATTAAACTAGACAGGTGAAAGCAGGAATATTTAATGTCATTCCAATTAAAAGAAGATTTAGTACCTTAATAAACAGCTGCCAATCTAAATTATCCAACAAATTTTTGAAAGTAACCTGAAAGAAAAAAGTAATTTTTACTTACAGATACTTGAGTTGTAATGATGGAAATGATGAAATTTTTAGCTCCGATATGTTATTGTTGCTCAAGTCCAAAGTCTCTAGACTCTGAAATGGCTTCAGATGTTCAGACAAAATGTTGGCAATCTTGTTATTGGTCCTGGAATTTAAGGGCAGTAGGCAAAAGACTGTAATTTCCAGAGTAAACACATCTTAAGTACACAACTCTGGCAAATATTAGTTCTTAATTTCCCTACTTGAAAATAATTTTGAGCTACAGAAAAGCAATAAAGTATGTTCTCTATGCATAACATTAATCTGAAATCAAAAACTGGAATAGTCTAAACTTACATTAATATTTCTTAAAATATAATTCCAGGAAAGAATGAAAAAAATGCAATATCATCAAATTACTGCAATTCATGGCTTTAAAAAAGAGATGCGTAACTTTATAATCACCTATTTCTGAACAGTAGCAATACCTGGTACTTTCATGGAACCGTATGGCACAGTATTGGAATGAAATAAGGTAAAAAATGTCTTCTATTTTAAGCAAATTAGTATCATAGTAACTAAACACAGTGTTTGGGGTTTTTTGAAAATTCCCTTGGCATGGAAGTCCAACTGAATTTCCAGAAAAAAAAACATAGAGCTAGATCATAAAAGATGGACAACAGTGCAGCCCCCAGAAAAACATTCTATAATTGTGGAATTAGACCTAGTATTCCAACCTACAGATTTTTCTAATGAGTTGGCAAAGAACAAAAGTTCTGCTAATAGAGGTCATTACAGGAGTTTCGGACTTCATGTCTGGTCAAACTTCAGCTCAGCACCACACCCAATTCCACAACAAAAAGTAGGCAACAATCTGAAGATTGTGGGTATTGTAGTCTGCTCTAAGGAAGACCCCTTCTTTCACTTTCACACATGAACTTTTTCCAATGACCTTATTTCATGTTCATACTCAGTAACCTACCAGTTTTTCAATCTCGGCTGCATACTGTACAGAATCCTACTTGCACATCAGCAACATTATTGTTCAGGGCTACCAGTACATAGGTGAAAGCAGATCATGACCAATTAAACAAATTTAACCTGAAATGGTTCTTGTTACCTTGTAAGTTCAAGTAAATTCTAGCTGTGGTACATTCTATACCTTTTTTTCATAATTACCAAAATTTAGGAGCTTTTCCCAGATCCTAGAGATTGCAGGCAAATGCAATTTTAGTAGAACTATCAACAAGAATATTAATTCTGGAAGATGTTTACCTTTACTGGAAACACTTGCTCTGGATCAAATAGTAAACCACACATTAGGGTGGCATGGACAACTCTCATGCATTCAGGGGGTGTGGGCGAACTACTGCTCAAGACAAAAAAGTCTTAACTAACAAACTGAACCAGAAGTGAGATTAATGGGCTTTCTGACCACATATGGGAATGGGTAAGTGATCCTGCAGCCCCTCCAATGCTGAGCTTGTATCATGTTTCATTCCTTAGGCTGTCTGGTAGAGAGAGGTAAACTGCATTTTTTAACTCTTAGCTGAAAGTATTTATAATAAATGGAAACAAATTACTTTAATAAAAAACAACAACAAACACCACCACCGTGTGTCAGTTCCACTGGCCAAATAAGAATGTGAGTTAGATAACAGGTCACAGAGCCTTGCCTTTATGCATTAGTTTGTTTACAAGGTAATTACTAACAAGGTATTAAAACTGCCAATTACTTGAGTGACGAATAAAATTTTCCTTGCAGTAAAAGTGTGCTCCAGCAGAAGCCAGCAATTTCCTGAACTGCACGCCTCCTAAATTGCAGTGTGAAAGTGTTCAGTTATAAGACGGCTTGCACAGTACTGTCTTTGTGTCAGCACTGCTCCATAAAACAGAAATTCCTCACAACTGGCAGGATAATAGCCTCTGTATTACAAACTTTAGTTGGACCTAATGGAACTGACTAAAACTCTTACACTGTCTTCAGAGTAGCACTTAAACCAACTGGCAAATTATCTGACACAGACCAGATTACAACAAAAACAACCAAACAAAAAACCCTCAGCTTGTTTGTTTCAGGAGCATTTTTCATTTTTGGAGATGGTAAGGCCATACTGAGGAGTGATGAGCCAACTTATTCTGCACACTGAAACTGTACTACACATCGTAGTCCTATAGTCCTATAGTCCATCTCACAAACCAGCTCTCACTGCACCTTCCTGGTTAATCATATTAACCAGGAACAGCAGAAGTTACTCAGTTGCAAAATAGCTGAATGGTTCACTCCCTATTGTTCCAACACCCTAGTCCAGTTTCTCTTCAAAAGACTGTAAGTATAACAATTCACACGTGGAAATTATTCAGCACTGAATTCTGTAGCATATCCAAATGGTTCTACTTCAAGACCCAAGCCTATTTAAAATGAGAAAGTTTAATTCTAATTAGATTTTTCTTCATGATCATCACTTAAGCAAATTTAAAAAAAAATATACCATTTTCCTCATAACTGCCAAATCACCATCAAAATTAGTCAAGAAGCACATACTTAAAAACACAGACCTATCTAACTGTCAAGAGAGAACCAAAGAGTAGACGTGTGGGCACAATGACATAGAAGCTTTTTCACTGAGAGGATGGTGGGGGTAAGAAAACCCAAAGGAAAATCTTTCCTGTGAGATGCTACTGTTGCTGTGTTCAGACAGAAGGAGCTGCATACACTGGTTTAACGTCACAGGCCTTCAAGGGGAGATGAGAGAAACAGATCCCTTGCAACAAGAAAACTAGCACATCAAGTTCTTCAAGAAACTAACCTGCAGCAATTTGATAACAATTTCTTCATGTGGAAGGAACAGCAACATGCTGCAGCTTCCTTACAACTTCTCCTGTTACAGCTAAAGCAGCAGGAGTACCAAGGAATGCAGATGAACCCACTAAAAAGATATAAATGAATTTGAACATGCCTTTTGCAATTTGAGTGCCTACACCCTGATTTGCAGCAAAAAGCCCCACAAACCAACGACCATGAGTGCATACAGCCTGATTTAATTACTTTTACATAAGCCTGTGTGAATACCAGCTTAAGAGAGAATACCAGTTTTTCATTATGGCTATTGGAAACCCTAGCTTTTCCTCTTAACATTCATGATTTTAAACACACCAATAGGCCAGAAATCCTGTAACAGCCCACTCAATCCTGATCTACTATTCATTCTACATAACCAGCTACCATGTATCTGAACATAATGACTTGCACTTTCCTTACTCTGCGGAAATACAAAGCAGCTCAGAAAATTCTGTATCCATTTTGTTGAGCATCTATTTAACACCTTTCAGATATAAAAACTCTTAAATGCTAAAACATCCCCTCCACCCCGCCCCCAGTCTTAAAAGATCTGAGACAGTCATACTGTCTCTTGATACAGACTGTCAGTATGAAATGTTTTCTACCTAAGAAAAAACATCCACGTAAGCTTCATGGTCCTACTGAGTCGCAAATCATGCACACATGCATAACATGGAAAATACAAGGCAAGAACAGATTAGGACCTGAAGTCCCATCTTTTCTTTCTCTTTGAAATCTCAGCACAAAAAACCACTCCTGCACTTCTAGCATAACTTTTTCTTCTAGCTATATCCTGGTCTGCAGTGTTTTGAAAACTTCTTAGATGGATCTCACCCTACTATCTTGAAAAGGAGTAGTGGAAGGGTAGTGGAGGCTCCAGTAGAAGCCTGGAAGTGAAGCAACCAGGTAAAAAATAAGTCGTCTAGAACAACAATTTTGGAGGAGAGTCCATACAGCCTGTTCTGCATAACTGTTAGATGTAAAGTAATTATCTTAACATATGCACATATCTGGACTAACACAGCACCTCCTGTCCCTCAACTAAGCCCTGAAAGGCAGAATAATCTGCATCACAAACAGGCAAATTAAACCATAGTGAAATCTGCTGGAAAACAAGAGGACACATAAAGAGGAAAAAAGAAAAGCCTTCTGCTAGGACTAGATGTATCTTTCTGACCAGTGCTAAGACTGAGAGACAGAAATTCATGGATGCCTAGTCTGACCAGATCAGAGCTCTTTTGGAAGCAGCCATATCAGATTCTTTGCAAAACCAACATGATTGTCCACATCTGAATATATTCTGTGTGGTCTCCATTGTGTGCCACTGCAAACACAGCCTCCTTTTAAATTTTTCTGCGTTTTTCACCTGTTCTTCCCATCACTCACTAGCTGTTATAGTCATGTAACTGGCATATTCTTTCTTGCACTTCCCCTCCTCCCCTCCCAAACTCCTTTGGGAACAATGATGCAAATACTATGTGGAAGAAAAGTGAAGCAAAAAGAAAAAAACAAATTATATCAAATACAAAGGATCAAGACTGTAAGTGGAAGTGCTGGATTATACATACCTTGTGGCTTTTAGGATAAGACTGGACAACTTTAAGGAACTCTATCAGAAGAGCCTCAGTAACTACTACTTCAAGAAGAGAAAAATTGTTCGTTTTTCTTCAATTTCTACTCAACTGAATACTAAACTGTATTGTAATGAACGATTACATTGTTTAAAATACTGAAACTGCAGTTTTAAGCTGAACACTACCCTTACAAAGAAAGCAGCCTCTGATATGAATGGAACAACATGCTCCTCTCACCATTAAGACACCCAACTGGACTGAATTAACAAAGTCTGGGGTTTTTTTTTTTTAGTATTTTCAAGTGTTAGTCATAGAAATACTACAAGTGAAACAGTTTTTCTCCAAGACACAGTCAGCAGAAATAGCACCCAGATTCTGGTTCACTTCCAGTTCTATTGGTAGGTTTACAAGTCTGATGCCTCTCTCATGCATGAGCTTCTTGCCTTCCTTGAAGCAAGCAGTTCTTTCTTTTGAAGGTCTCCTCATTCCATGATCCATGCCTTTCATTCCTCTTTCAAGCCAGATGTCAGAAGGACTCTACTTTTATATTTTTTGTTTTTTATGGCATACAGGCATAAATAGAAAACAAAAACTCAGAACACTGTAGGCTACTGATACCCTGTCCAAAACTTGAAACCAAAGGTTTATTGATTCCCAAATCAAACATAAACTGGGAAAGGGGAAAGAGAAAGATGCAGACAGAAACAACTCTGTGATCAGATATGTTTTCATCAGCAAAAAGAAGAGAGA